TAAGACTGGTTGGACACGTACCTCCACTCTTTCCTATCCTGAGCTAAACTTCGCATTTCCCTAAAACTAGAACATCCCACATCCTTAACTATTTGCGAACAGTACTCTAATCTAGATCTACCTCTACCCCTCCTAACTCCTGTTTCTGCCTCTAATATGTCTCTGACTAGACCTTCATGCCTGAGAAGGTGTCCTACTAACCTATCTCTCCTATTTTTGATTGACTTCCATAGAATCCTCTGTTCTCCTATTCTTTCTAATACTTCTTCATTTCTAACCTGTTCTACCCAAGTTATTCTCATCATTCGCCTATAACACCACATTTTGAACGCTTCTAACCTTTTCTTTTCCGCCGCTCCCACTGTCCATGTTTCGCACCCGTACAACGCCGTGCTCCAAACATACACCTTTAACAACCTTTTTCGAATTTCTAAATTAACCGTTCGCGAGCATAGAAGTGACTTCTTAAGAAACTTGAAATAATTTTTAAAAAAACATGTCAAAATTGAGATTATTACAAGTTACCTAATAAATTCTACTATTTCTACAGCAAATTTAATCACTTACATTCGAAAATTGTAATTTTTGTATTGTCATAATAATTTAATTTTCTTTGGGTAAAAAATAAACATCATTATGGTGTTCTTTGACAGATTTTCTCAACAATATTTCCCTCTTTAAAGTTCTTAACTAATATAACTATAGTTTAAAAAGCGTTATACTGGCATTGACGCTTTCCATTACGAATAAAATCAACGGGAAGGTAGCAAAGGTAATTTGCCTGTTCACTTATTGATTTTGATTGCTAAATAAATATTGTATTATAAACATTTGAAATACTATTTCAAATTGTTTAATTTTCCTCTACGAGGCTGCTATGAGCCATTCGTAACATAATGATGGCTGCTATCCGCCATATTGAATCGTTTTTAACGTTCTGGGGTCTTGCACGCATTTTCTTTGTTACATTTAAGTAATTCAATTAATTTTAACTCCATTTCTTATCGCACGCAGCGTACCAGACACTAATTGTTTGACCCAGGCCATTATAAACAGGTAGGTACATACAAGTTTTAAAGAAAATCGATTAAGAGTTTATAGCGTCGTTCACATTAATTGCTAATTAAAAATAAGTTGCAAACTTCTTGTTAGTACAAAGCAGTGAAATTGACCATTGTGTTATTCAGTACGTACACTTGAAGTGATCGAAAATTTCTAGTAGATTTTACAACATTGTCTGTTATGTAAACAATTATAAACAAAACATGTATTAAGTATATTATAAACTTAGATCCCACTCACTTCGCAAAGTGTTGTTTGACGATTTGACGTCATTATTGTCCGTACTAACTCTGTACCACTACGGAAAAGTTTAATAAAGTAAAGGGGACGAAGCTGAACTCAGCAGTTGCCATAGGAAAACATGGCGAGAAACGTTGTTATTTTAGTGGTCGTAACATTTATTGCTGTTGTCGTTCAATGTCAAAAAACCGACAACAAGGTTGTGTGTTATTACAATTCAAAAGGATATTTTAGAGAAGGTAATATTTTAATTTTATTACTTTCCTCATTATTTACATACCCCATTGAAGGGGTTTAGTAAAATTAATTGGAAACCGTAACAAGAAATTATGCATTAAGAGAATTCTTCTGCACTTACNAATTAGATAATTTTGAAATATTTGTAAAAATATACCTATTTCTTCTTATGCTGAGTAAGTGGTATTGGGTGTAATATGAGTGGATACGTATTAAATTCACGGTCGTGTTCTATTTAAGTCGACGATTTGAATAATGTTAAGGTCCATTTGAAGGTCAACAACAAACATAAAAAGTACAGAAAAGGTGATTTTTTGTCTTTTTAGTATGCGCAGCGTGTGCTGTAATTGAATTTCTTGGAATACCATAAAGAAGTACCTCAATACTTGTGGTATCATTTGTATAATGAATAATGCAGAAGTTCAGCTATGTATGTATGTCTGTGAATGGATCACCATTACAGTAGCTTCAAATTATTGAAATTTTTATTTTAAATGTGTGGAAAACCTTGCTATAATCAGTGATATGAAAAATAATCTCTTTCAAGTGAATAGATCCTCTATACAAAATAGGAAATAATTTGCTATTTTTGGTAATTCTTGAGAGCTAACAGCGATACTTATCATTTGCCCTTGTTAATACAATAATTTTGTACGAACTTATAATATTTCTATTCCTAAACAATTGTTAATTATTATTTTGTTTCACTGTTATTGTTATAAAAAAATTCTTAGTCGACAAAGAGACAAGTCATCAAATCATATTATTCAGTCGGAATTTTTTAATTTTACTTTATAATGAACGATATTACCGTGGATATAATAATTTTAATTTTGCATATACCCACAAATTAATGACTAGATTTTCTTTATTCTACATTCCTAAACACGTCTTTTGCCCATTTCTGTCTCACACTTTGCAAGGTCGAGAAAGTTTATCGTACAATTAAATAATGTCTGTTTATAATATTTTAAAGTGATAAATTGTTCGATAAACAAACGAGGATGTTTTTATAAACATATTCTGGGAACATATTATCACGTATGTTTAAAATATGAAGCCACACTGTTTGTTGTTACTGTTATTATTATTAAAATAAGCTCATCAATTATACTTAAAGCAAGCTGATTTTTGAATTCTTTTTTTTTTTTTTGAATAAATATTTTTCGTATCTGTCTTATTGATATTAATAAAATATTTCATTTTTGTTAGACTTTTGAGTTCAAGAAGTTCAGTTTTAAAGTTTAAAGTTAAAACTGGCGATAATTTATCATTTGGAATTAAATTTTTTGTTGTATTTTTTACGAATAAAAGCACTGCGCTTTCAATATTAATCTACTATAAATATGAACAAAATAATCATGAAAAGAATACAATTTATTTTCTACAATAAAGAAATGGAATCTTTGGTTGTACTTTTATGAAACATATTTTAATAATAATGAATGCATAGCAGTAGGTACTGAATTTGCCAGAAGAAGGCCGTATAGAACGCGGACTAAGCGAGGGCAGCTTTTGAAATCATAAAAAAAGCTCAATTTAGTTCAGAAATGTAAACTTCTTCACTGTCAGGCTTTCAATAATATGATTACAGAAACTAGAATTAACATAATTATCATTACTTTATCTCACAATCAGTCATTTTGAAGTGCAATTTTTATGTACCCACCCTCATCATTATAAGGTCGTCAGTCCTAAGACTGGTTGGACACGTATCTCCACTCTTTCCTATCCTGAGCTAAACTTCGCATTTCCTTAAAACTAGAACAACCCACATCCTTAACCCTTTGCGAACAGTAATCTAATCTAGGTCTACCTCTACCCCTCTTAACTCCTGTTTCTGCTTCTAATCTGTCTCTGAGTAGACCTTCATGCTTGAGAAGGTGTCCTACCAACCTATCTCGCCTATTTTTTATTGACTTCCATAGAGTCCTCTGTTCTCCTATTCTTTCTAATAACTCTTCATTTCTAACCTTTTCTACTCACGTTATCCTCATCATCCATCTATAACACCACATTTCGAACGCTTCTAACCTTTTCTTTTCCGCCGCGCCCACTGTCCATGTTTCGCACCCGTACAANTATTTTTTATGAGACTTAATAGTCTTATTTTTCGGTAGGTGTTTATGCATTCCGCTTACCTGATGAAAATGGTGAAAATGGTGTTTGGGTTGGTTATGAAGATCCGGATACTGCCGGAAACAAAGCGGCCTACGCAAGAGCGAAAGGACTTGGCGGCGTTGCCATCTACGACATTACTCTCGATGACTTCCGGGGTCTTTGCAACGGCGAAAAATTCCCCGTTCTCAAAGCGGCTAAATTCCGCCTGTAATTATCTAATCAGATACGGTGATTTTCTTTTGTTTTGTTTTGTGATTAACTACATAGATCTAAAAGTGAACAAAAATGCTAGTATGTAATTTTAAATATGTCATAATTCTTTGAAACGATACGTATTTGATAGTTTACTATTTACACTATTAATTTAAGAATTGAGACTTACACATAACAAATGCGCTTTTAAACGTTACATCTATAAAGCTGTTGCCAAGGATGTAAAATACAGTTTAGCTACTGAATTACCTACTACTCTTGATTAAAGGTAAAGGGTCAAACATCCCAAACAACTGCAAAGTTTGAATAAAATTCGTTGAAACAATTATTCATTCTTACTGTGTATTTGCAGTAATTTGCAAATTAATCAAATAATTTCAATTATCTCTATTTTCTGATTGATGCACACTACTATTAAGTATCTGAAAACTCGAATTCTTGTAGTAATTTGTTCATAAATGTTATATTTTTGTTTTCAGGACAAGGAAGATTCGATCTTCCATTTATAGAGCCAGCTTTACAATACTGTACTCATTTAATTTACGGTTACGCCGGAGTTAACGCCGAAAATTTCAAATTAGTTCCACTCAATGAGCAATTTGATGTCACGAGGGATCATTATAGACATATTACTAACTTAAAGAGGCAATATCCTGGATTAAGGGTTCTGCTATCTGTAGGAGGAGATGCTGATGATGTTGACACCATTAAGTATTTAACACTTGTGAGTAAAAAATACTAATTTATTGAATAAAAGCGCTCAAGTGAGCTTTTTGCTTTTTGAAAGTTTTAGTTTTACTAGAATAAGAAAAAATTTTGTTTGTTTTCAGTTGGAATCCGTGGACCATAGACTATCATTTGTTAACTCTGCGTTTACAATCGTGAAATCTTTTGGTTTTGACGGTTTGGATATTGCCTGGGAATTCCCGAAAACAAAACCGAAGAAAATTAGGAGCGGTTGGGGTAAGTCATTAACTATTTCGTCTAAAAAACATCTTTATAATATTTCGAGTGTAAAACTTGACGTTGTAACTTTTAGGCAGCTTTTGGCATGACGTAAAAACTACATTCGTGGGTGACAGTGTACCAGATGAGAAGGAGGCAGAACATAAAGAACAGTTTACAGCTTTAGTACGTGAAGTTAAAAACGCTTTTAGACCAGAAGGTTTTATTGTAACAATTACTGTAAATCCGAATGTAAACAGTAGCGGTATGTTACAATTAATTATTGTTTTTTCGTTTGGAAATTTTGACTTTATTTTTTTTCATTTAAATTTTTAGTATATTACGACACAAGGGCTTTGATTCCAAACGTTGACTTTGTTAATTTACTGGCATTTGATTTTTACACGCCTGGAAGAAATCCTAAAGAAGCCGATTATCCATCGCCTTTGTACAGTTTGATTGATAGAAAACCAGATGAAAATGCTGACGCTTGGGTCAGACACTGGTGAGTTTATTTTCCACTAACCGGCCATTATTCTTATTGTGGCAATTGTAATAAATATTGATTTGATAAGGTTGGAAAACGGAGCTCCAAACAACAAACTCATTTTGGGTATTCCAACATATGGAAGAGCGTGGAAAATGACGGAAGATTCTGCGATCAGTGGAGTTCCACCATTTAAAGTAAAAGGGGCTGCTGAAGAAGGACCTTATACCAAAGAACCTGGTCTTTTGAGTTATCCCGAAGTATGTGCTAAAATTTCTAATCCGTTAAACCTTAAAGGCGCTGGATCACATTTGAGAAAAGTTGGAGACCCTACTAAAAGATACGGTACGTACAGAAAAACGTTTGAAAATTAGAGAATCATTCTCCGTATGGTTCTTAAAATATTTTTTTTCAGACGAAGTAAGATTCAACGTTTCTGATGTTTCCAATAGATACGGTACGTTTGGAATTGTATTTTGGCACTGTATCTATTTTGCACAAAATTATTTCAAATCACAATCGCTTTTTATGGTACACTTTGTACTATGCGGGTTTTTTTTTACACAATTTACGATCTGTTTTATATGCAACAAATAACTGACTAAATTTTCCAAAATTAGAACAGAACTAAATTGTATCGATTAAATAGATAGTTAGTCAATCGCATCCTGTTTGAAACGGGTGAAGTAGAAAAACCATCACAACCGAGCATTGATGGTTTACTTTTGATATTCCTCTTGTATTTATTTATGATAAGTATACAGAATATTACGATTAGGTACATTATCATTGAAAATGTTTCTTCAAGTCAAAGACGAAACCCAGCCTAGCCTAACCTAGGCTGTAAAAACCGCAATTATATTACAGTTATTTTTTAGTTTACAAAGTCTAACAGTTGGTACTGAAACAGAAGAAGTTTCACTCTGACATCTACTGTTGTTATTTGCTCTTACTGTTTCATTTTTATATTTTTTATGAGACTTAATAGTCTTATTTTTCGGTAGGTGTTTATGCATTCCGCTTACCTGATGAAAATGGTGAAAATGGTGTTTGGGTTGGTTATGAAGATCCGGATACTGCCGGAAACAAAGCGGCCTACGCAAGAGCGAAAGGACTTGGCGGCGTTGCCATCTACGACATTACTCTCGATGACTTCCGGGGTCTTTGCAACGGAGAAAAATTCCCCGTTCTCAAAGCGGCTAAATTCCGCCTGTAATTATCTAATCAGATACGGTGATTTTCTTTTGTTTTGTTTTGTGATTAACTACATAGATCTAAAAGTGAACAAAAATGCTAGTATGTAATTTTAAATATGTCATAATTCTTTGAAACGATACGTATTTGATAGTTTACTATTTACACTATTAAGAATTGAGACTTACACATAACAAATGCGCTTTTAAACGTTACATCTATAAAGCTGTTGCCAAGGATATTATAGTTTATTAATTGTTTTTTTTGTGCTCATTTACCTATATCCTATGTTTGCAAATCAATAAACTTATTTAATAAATGTCTAAACGCTTTGACTTCACTTTAATCCATCCTTTTTAGCTTCTTAACACACTTTTTTGTTTTTACTTTACAACGCAGTAACTCATTTAGAAATTCGTTGTTTAAAAAAAGGGTACACGTACGTATAGTTGGAGCGAACAAAATTGGCAAAGTCCGCAGTAAATTATCTGTGATAGTGGACGTATCTTCTTTCTTGTTTTCACTTGGGACTGCAATCATTTGCCGAGTTTTGAACGCACCCTTGTTAAGTTAAGAAATGCCTCATGAGGAGTACAGACAAAATGAAAAGATAAAACCAAATAGTAATAGTAAGCGGTGCAGCGGTACCCAAAAGATCAGGGTCGGCTTTATACAGTCTATTTCAATTGTCACCTTGAAGAAATCTGCGCGAAGATAGAAAGAATACACACTAGGCGTGAGCAAGACAGAAATAGTTGGAACAAGCTTGAACGAGCAGAGCTCTCGATGGGCGGTCTTAGGAGATCGGCTAGAACTGTACAGTACTAGACGAAAATGTTTAGCAATTTCTTAAAACAAAAATGTATATAAATTAACAATAGAAAACAAAGCAAAAGTTTTATAGGTGTGTAGAGCGTTAAGTTAATTCACTTGTTATTATTTTTGGCTAAATATGGTTTTAAATAAAGCATATTCTTAAATTTTAACGAGGCAGTTTAGATAATTTTGCACTTTTGTCTAGTTCTCGCTCAATGATCGGTGGAGAAATGAGCTCCGCAGACAAATACGATTGAATTTGGAATTATGCTACGGCGCATCCTAATAAAGGGAAGGGGCATATCTCTAACTTCTTGAAACGAACAGTACATGCTTGGTTGGAATTACATATTTAAAGAAGCGTCTTTACTTTCCTAAATTCCTGAGAACGTTTAATTTTCTTTAAAGTCAGATGCAGGTAACATGCTTGTCTGCATCTCTTTCTGTTACACATCAATTGGTGTAGTGTTATTTCCTTTTTTCATTAGCGTCCGCTGCAATTCTTTCTTGGCATCTCACTTCTATGTTTACGACATTCCCTACAACGCCAGTCGTGAGTAAAGTAGGCGTTCTGTCAGCAACCGCTCTAGTCTAGTTAGTAAGTTGAAAGAAGAAAGTAAATGCAACAGTTCTATTGCGGACTACGCCAATTTTGAATGCCTCAACTATATACAAGAATATTTAAATTTATCTAATTAAGTGATAATTCGACAGTCACTGAATGTGTGAAAATATACATTTTCCAAGAATAAAGAAACCAAAATTTAGTAACTTACCTTTGTATATCTTTCTGTTATTTTAGGGAGAATTGTGGAAAAATGTTATGCCAACATATTCCTCTCAATCCCATGAGAACCCATTTGATAGGTTTACCAGAGGGAAGGACGGGTGATTTAAAGCAGTTTGTGCGCGACGAGGATGGTGAAATGTTTTTCTGAAAAAAATTGTTGATAGTTTTTGATTCATCTGAATGAATAAACAGACAAGTTCGAATGAAATCACACTTTATTTTAACAAAACAAGGAAATAGTAGAACTATACCTATTACTCGAAACTTTTATAAAAAGTAATACTACAGGTATTAAATATTTAAGGAAATCTTAAAGATATTAGCATTCTTCCAGTAACTACAAAATCAAGAAGTTTCAACAGAAATAAACTTGACAACTTGAACAATTATATAATTGTATAATACGACTATGTAGATACAAATCAAGATGTAAAAGACATGTTAACTGCAATCAACTTTAATTCGATATTGTTGATTTAATCTGTGTTATACTAAAACTGCACTATCAATAAAAAAAAACTTGGCAATGTTCGCATAATGTATAACTCAAAATTGTATGACGAAAAACTTAGTAGCAAGTGCATTATTGTTTGTTACGTGTTACTTAAACCGCGTTATTAGTAATGTGTTATAGGAGGGTTGTTGTCGCGTGGGTTATTATTAAATCGTGGTGACAGTTGACGTGTTATTTAATGAGTTACCGTTGTAGTATACAGTAGTATATTTAAAGCTGTGTAATCATTCTATGACATAATACAAAAACTACTGCGTTTTTGTGCCGTGTTACATATCATAAACCGTGGTAACAGTTGACGTGTTATTTAATGAGTTATCGTTGTAGTATACAGTAGTATATATAAAGCTGTGTAATCATTCTATGACATAATACAAAAACTACTGCGTTTTTGTGCCGTGTTACATATCATAAACCGTGTTAACAGTTGACGTGTTATACGGCGAGTGTTTGTGTTAAGCATATAAAACCGTGTTATTATTCTATGGTGTGATACAAAGGGTCCTGCCTTCTTGTGCCGTGTTTCATATTAAACCGCGTTATTAGTAAACGTGTTACAGAAAGGTTGTTGTCACTTTTGTGCCGTTGTGGTTATCATTAAACTGTGATAACAGTTGACGTGTTATATGGAGAGTGTTTGTGTTATATAAAACAAAAACCGTGTTACCATTCTATGATGTGATACAAAGGGTCCTCCCTTTTTGTGCTGTTTTACATTAGATCAAACCGCGTTATGAGGAAACGTGTTATTGAAAGGTTGTTAACACTTTTGTACCGTGTTTCTTATCATTAAATCGTGATAACAGTTGACGTGTTATTTGGTGAGTGTTATCATATTTATTCTGTAGTACGTCGTAGTATATATAATACAGTGTAACAATTCTATAACATAATACAAAAATTATTGCGTTTTTGTGCCGTGTTACATATCATAAACCGTGTTAACAGTTGACGTGTTATATGACCAGTGTTTGGGTTAAGTATATAAAACCGTGTTACTATTCTATGGTGTGATACAAAGGACCCTGCCTTTCATACAGTTAAACTGTATTGCCATGTGGTACAAAGGTCCTACCATTTTGTGCCGTGTTGTTTGTTCGTGGTGTGTTATAAATTTTCTGCTGTGCTCTCTTATTATAAAACTCTTTCATTAGTTAGTTGTGTTGTCCTTACTAAGGCTGGTGTTAGTAAACTATTATAAAATTGTGTTATCTGCATGTAGTGTTCTAGGAAGAGTGTAGCTAGTTTCTGTGCCGTGTTATTATAAGGCTTTTGTTGATATTATAAAACCGCCGTGTTGTAGCAAAACTACAGCAATTTTTATATTGTATTTGGGTGCTTTATCTTTGCTGCAATGTTTTAACGTACTACAATTTCATATTAATTAAGAAGGTATTTTGATATTTTCTTGAACAAATTTATTGTAAACAATCGTAGAATTTCAGAAAATACTACAAACGGCACAGTGAACGCCATCTGTAGCACGATGCTACATTCGTTTCCAGCAAGTAGATATCCACACAAGTGGACCTTGTTGAAAAATACGTAATCCTAAAATGTAGCATCGTGCTACAGATGGCGTTCACTGTGCCGTTTGTAGTATTTTCTGAAACGCACTGTTAAGACAGCAGGCAAAAGTTGGTCTGTGTTCTGTCGGAGCCGCCTGCGATGCGCTGATGAGATCCAAAAAGATCGAAATCGCGATCCGCGTCTGGCAGTTTCGACAGAATACAGACCACTTCGAATATTATTTTAATCGTAGAATTATTGTCGCTGGATATTATCACCTAATGAAATAAATAAATAAACAATTGTTGAAGAGGAAATAAAAATTTAAAAATAAACGGTCTTCATCTTGATTTGTAACCACACAACAGCTACAGGAATCCTTTTGTATAAACTATTTTAACATAACTACAGTAACAATAATAATATAGTATGTCTTCATGTGTGTATACAAGGTAGTAGTTATTGGAAAAGCGGGAAGAAGTATTTGTCACAGATGACAGTGACAATTTAAAATTTTAAGGGTATGTATGTATATTGTAATTGTTTAAGTATCACAGAAAGAACTTCAACAAGTTGGTTAAAATTTCCTTTTAGAAATAATAATTTCCTTAATTATTAAAGCGCCTTTCTCTGGTTAAAGTTTCGTGTTGGTCCTCTTGTTTTCTTTTCTATGCGTTTAAAAATTTGCAAGAGTTGCCTGATAATATCGTTGACAATTTTAAAAATGTTCTCTAAACGAGTTGTTCTTTAAAGGTTTAGAAGATCTCTAATTTCTGCTAAGTTCTAATGAGAATGGTTATTTCTAAATCGGGTTTTCAATCATAACATAGGAACATCGGATTTAGAGAGATAAAACTATTTAAAATGGACAAACTGCATCTAAGCCTTTTAGGTGCGAAGAAGCTTTGTTTTTGAGATTGGGAAACTTTCAGGAAAATTCACTTTAACGCTTTCCTACAACTATAATCGTAACAACAATAAGAATTATATTAACTGTGAGTTTAACATTACCTCTTATCGTTAATTATTTATTTATATAAAGTAAGTATATGCACTTGAAGATGTAACTTCTTTATTAAATCGTTTTTCCTGACGTAAAATTTCCAATTAGTTGTGTCAATAAAAATCCACAAATACCATTAAATTTTTAAATTTTAAATTTGAATTGTAGCTATCACAAAAATTTTTCTGATATTTTTTTTTCTGTACTAATTATAGATAATATTATGAAGGACCATGAGGTTTTTCACCTGACGCGTTGATTTGTCTGTCTGTACTGCGAAATTTAAAAAAAAAAATAATTCTCTTAATGTGGACCTTATCTTCCTTTGAAGTTACAATAATTAAACCAATTTTTATGAAATTATGTGCTTGAATATTTACGAATGTCATATGTACCACACGCGAAGAAGCAATCTCAATTATAATTTTGTATATTTTTGTTACACTGTCTTCGTAAATTTTGTGCATATTCTTACTCTTGATTATCAATGCCTGATGATTTTTGACAACACTGTATGAGTAAGGAAATAGATATTATCATTATCATAAATATTTACTTATAGCCTATTACACTTAATAAGTATTTTAGGTATAAATAATATAATTAAACCAACAATTTATACCGAAAAATACCGCGTTTGTAATACAACAAATTCTTAACACCGTTAAAAAGATTATTTGGCAAATGAGACTAATTAGTATTGAAGTAAATAGAACACCTGTTTATATACAGATAATTCAATTTACGTAACTTTACCATTTAATGACATGCTTAGCACCGTATAATTTGTTTTCGTTAGTTTGTTTTTTTACTGATACATTATATTTCCCTATTTGCAAAATTCTAAGATGCAATTACTTTTAAAGTTTCTAAATATAATTGCTAATTATCGAATTATTTGCTATTAAAGATTTATCAGGGTTTTATTCTTTTTGATTATCTATTTATTCTGAATTAACTAAGAACATAAAAATATGCTTCTTAATATTGCCAAAATTTACATTATGAAATTCCATGTAAATATCTTATGATTCTAACAATTTACTTAAAAAAATCGATTACCAATTTTTCTGTAGGTATGTAGTAGTGTGAATTTTTGTTTGCATTAATAAGTTATTATTTTTTTTTTATTTGCATATTAAATTAGAACACTAAAAAAGTAAGCATTTCTTAGAATTTCTGAGTTTTATACTCAGGCAACCACAAAATTGTAAAATTATTGCTAGAAAATATTTCAAATTTGATTTTACAAACCATATTATAGCATTTAGTGAGTTATTTTTGACTTTCAAATTTATGTATATTAAACCGTCTATTAATTAATCATAATAAAAAGCGTACCAAACTAGTAAATTACTATTACTTGAATATACGAATTAAAAATATTCCATTTACTAAAGGGTTTAAAACCCGGTGCTGTGGTGGAATAGGGTTAATTTTTTGTTATTTAAATGATATTAATTCTACTTTAAAAGGGTTCGTTAATAGAATAATTTTATAACTAATTTAAGACTCGATTTGGCACCAAAGCAGTTCTAACAATATTTGTTTTAAAAGACCGATAAGAATTAAAAAAAAAAATATCAGAATGAGTAGTTTGATTTACACGGATACATTCTAATAACTTATTACTTATGGATAAGTGTAATTATTTTATGCGTAAATGTTTCTTTTAATGTTTATGTGGCATGCACAAAACTTCCATTCAATCAAATACCGCGTTTCTATTTTCGTTGTTACTTTATGATACTGATCGTTATATTGTAAGTTTGGTTTTCTCTTTGGTCTATTATCTACGTTATCTTTCTTTTCATGAGTTTTTTGCAAACCACAACTGTACCATTATTTACACATTATGTATTCCGTAACACCAAAAAAAGCAACCGAAGTTTGTTTCAAGAAAAAACGTGCTTCATATCTAATAAATATCTATAACACTACCTAAGGGTTAGACAATAAATAAATAATTTTTATATTCTTATAGGGAATGAGATCATTACAACAATGAGAAACGAGATACTTTCTTGCTCGATCAATACTTTCTAGTACTTACATCTAGATGTAAAGCCACGTGATGTATTTGTTATGGTAATTAATGTGATTAATCCTGTAATTATGTATAATTGTCCGTTATTAAATATAAATAATTACTTAGTAAGTTTGACAAACGTGATAAATTCTTGAATATTTATCAAATTGACCGGCTGAGGATTACAAGGTTTTGGTAGGTAAGGACAACACGAACGAAGTAAGTAATTGTATATAATAACCGGCAATTGTACATTATCACCGGATTAACCGCACTTACCGTAACAGAATTTAGTATGATTTATTAAAACACATGATGAGAAAGTTTCTTTTTTTAAAAGTGTTATTAGTAGTTTGGAAAATTATTATACTTTTCGTCTTTATGTTAGGCATACATGTAAAATTTAGAGTTTTACCCGAATTCTAAAAAAAGTTGCTAAATAAACGTATTGCCACAAATATTTAAGACATTGCTTTTAATTTAGAATCTTGTTCACGAAATTTTAACGTATTGGACTTAATATACTTAAACAATAATTTGATTTTACGAAATCAATCATTATTTGCATCCCTACAAACATCAACCAACAAATATTACTTTCTTTTGCTTCTTAAGTCACCACCAACTTCATTTTTACTTATTACTCGCATATCAAATAAAAATATTAATAAATATATTGTAGATATACTTCAGTTTTAATAAGATACTGCTTATTATGAAAAGCAATTGAGCTGTTAAATGTTGCAAATTTATTAGGAATCAAATAGCTAAACAATGATCCAAATAATTAATCACAGTGTTGTATTTTTTATGCAGTAATAAGCACTGAAAAGTTAATCAATTTTAGTCTATGATGTTCATCAGGGTTTTTTAGATTGTGAAACAATAGTGGAATGTGGCATTTTATGGATTATACTTACATAGATTTTTAATGTTAATTTTCTCCATTAATATTCATAAATAGTTGATTGTAGTGTCCGACCGAAATTTTCGGTTTCGGTCGAGTTTCGGCAAAAAAACGAGTTGCGGTTTAGTTTCGGTTTCGGCGGCAAACCTGCCGAAACTACGACCGAAACCGAAACAACGTTCTGGAGTTCTCGCGCTCTGCTCGGTCATGTTCGGCGCGATAAATTCCATCCAAGCGAAGTATACTATACTTACTCAAATAAACATCTCACCTAATTTAAGTATTTTTAAGGCGCAATTAAAGTATTTCCTTAAATGAGGGGTTGTTATGTTGATTTTGATTTGATTATCAATAAGTGAAAATGTCAAAGACTGCAGAGCTATGTGATTTAAAGATAAAAAAATAAAACTGACTGATTATAATAACGTTTTCTTTATTTTTCTCTCAAAACAT